GATGCTGGCAGAAGATGTGAGACTCCTGGGTCAGAGACAAAAAGCTTTGTTACTTATGGTGCAGCAAGCAGCATGTTGGTGTTGGTTCCCCTTTACTCAATTTCCAGAGGGCTTTGAGGAGAGGGTGGGGTGGTACCTGCACTGCAGTGAGTTGTATTACAGAAGAGGAGTCCTAAGCCTAGGGAACTTGAATCTTTTATTATAGGCAATGAGCCAGACTGAACTTTGCCTCAGAGGGAGACATTTTCTTTGTTACTGAACAATAAACAAACCTACTCCTTTGCTCTGGAGGGAGACCTTGTCTCTCTGTTTCCAAAATGTCTGCTATACAAATAGCATTGAAAAAATAGCTTGGAATAAAGGCAGTCAGTGTTTCTGCTGGAATTGACAATTCTGTGGAATTGTCTCCCAATAATGATCAAATGTTTTAGCACCAATTACTGTCTAGTATATCCTTTTCCAACTGATCTATCTGTAAAGTTGGGATAACAATAGTATTTAAGGTTGTTTTGATGATTAAGTGAGTTAATACATATACCTGGCACATTATAAACAATTGCTAGCTATTTTTGTTATCAAGGTTAAATTATATCATAAAGATTAATCTCCTCCCAATTAACACAAACTCCTTAAACTCTGATAATCTCATTGCAATTTACATACTATGATCATTCAGTATTTCAGTTGTTTTGTACAATGTTTGTTTAGACTTACTCACACATGTATTGATTTCTTTATTCTACATTCTTTTTGCATCCCAAACCTTACTTCTTGACTCATTTTCAGAAATTCCTTTTGTTTTCTCTTCCAGTCCCAGGCACTTCGGCAGCTGTGGGTTACTGTGCAGACATGGCTAACTCCAAGAACCACACCATACACAACCACTCTCAGAAATGGCACAGAAGTGGCATTAAGAAACCTTGATCACAAAGATATGAATCTCTTAAGGGGGTAGACCCCAGCTTCCTGAGGAACATGTGCTTTGCCAGGAAACACAACAAGAAGGGCCTGAAGAAAATGCAGGCCAACAACACCAAGGCCGTGAGTGCACGTGCTGAGGCTATCAAGGTTCTTATAAAGCCCAAGTAGGTCAAGCCCAAGATCCCAAAGGGTGCAAGCTGCAAGATTGATCGACTTGCCTACATTGCCCATCCCAAGCTCAGGAAGCGTGCTCATGCCTGCATTGCCAAGGGTCTCAGGCTCTGCCGGCCAAAGGCCAAGGCCAAGGCTCAAACCAAGGCCCAGGATGCGGCTTCAGCTGCAGGTCTGGCTCAAGCTTCAGCTTCAGCTCCAGCTCAGGCTCCAAAAGGTGCCTAGGCCCCCACAAAGGCTCTGGAGTAGAGGCCCCTGTCTGCCAATGTGAGGACAGAAGGACTGGTGTGACCCCTGGGCTGTTGTCTGCATAGGGCTAGTGTCCTCCTGTGTTGTTTGTACAAATAAACCTGAGGCAGGAAAAAAAAAAGAAAGAAATTCCTTCTGTGTTGGTCTAGTGTTGGTAATAAACCCCTTTAGGTTTTATCTGAACATGATTGATTGTAAAAAATAATTTTTCTGAAACACAGTATTATGCTGACAGTTATTTTACTGCAGCACTTTGAATATATTATGCAAATATCTGTGGTATTTATTGTCAATCTAGAAATTATTCCTTTGTAGGCGGTACATCATTTCTTTTTGGTTGTTTTCATAGTAGTTCCTCTGTCTTTTTTTTTTTTTTTTTTCCTTTTTGTCTTTTTTTTGTGACCGGCAACGGATCGCAACCCTCAGTGTTGCGCCCGTACCGGACCGGGACCGGCAACGGGATCGCAACCCTCGCTGTTGCGCCCACACCTCGCTCAGCCAGTGAGCGGGAACCGGTCTGTATGTGGGATCCGAACCCTCGGCGGGAGCGTTGCTGCACTCCCAAGCGGCGCACTACCGGGCCGGCCCGTAGTTCCTCTGTCTTTGGTCTACCTTTTTACTGTCATTCTGACAGTAAAATCTAATGGGTAGACAATATTTGTTAAATATACTACTGATGAAGAATAACAATCCAGAATACTGGATTTACATTATGTTTATTGTTCTTGTATCTATTGTGCTTTCTATATGTGTGGATTCATATCTTTCATCATTTATGGGAAAATTTCAGCCATTTTCTATTCAAATATTGCCTTTTCCTTATTCTATTTGTCCTATTGGAACTCTGATTAGACATATGTATATTCTCTGTTGCTTAATCTCTTTGTTATTTTTCAATCTTTGGCTTTCTGTATTGCATTTTGGGTAGTTTCTTTAGATCTGTCATCTAGTTCACAGCTTTTCTCTTCAGTTATAACTAGCTTATATTTAATTTACACACTATATTTTAAATCTCAATGATTTTTTTTGTTTCTAGGATTTTTTTTCTTTAAATATACTTTATTAAGTCTAATGGACTCTCTTATTAGTTTTTTTTAGATACTAGCTTTGTTTTTTTGACATATAAAAAATGTTTATTTTATGTTCTGCATCTGGTATCTAAAATCTGTGGGGGAATAAGACTATAGTTAGTTAGTTTTGTGATTATCTGTTATATTTATTTGTGTATTTAGTAACTTTAAAATTGTGAGCTCATACTTTGTTGAGCTTAATTGGTGAGATCTATGTTAGAGATGCTTTCCTTCAGACAAGATGTGTGTTTGTATCTGCCTGATACTGGGGCCCCAGCAAGATCTATCCCCAATCTGCTGCGTATAGATTGAATCCTGTTCCCCAAAGTCCATTATTAGAAGCTTTATTCCCACAGTAACTGTTGAGGGTGGGAAATCCTATTACAACAATTGAAAGGTAGGGCCTTGAAGAGGTGATTAAGTTGATGGTTTAATGGTGGTTGTGGGCGTGGTCCTGAGAGCTTTATAAGAAGAGCACATGAGAGTCTCTCTCTCTTTCTCTGCTCTGCCATTTTCTGCCATATGAGACGCCTGCATTGCTGTAACACCACCATCAAAGAAGACCCTCACCAGATGTGTTCCCTGGACTTGGGGCTTCCCAGACTCTGAAACTATAAGCAATAAATTTTATTTTCTTATAAATCACCCAGTTCCAGGTATTTTGTTATAAGCAAGAGAAATGGACTAATACAAAGAGTTTGGGGTCTTTTACCAAATGGAGAGTGTAAGATTAAATTCCAGACTTGATGGGGGCAGGCCTATTATTATAAATTTCAGGGGGTGACATTTATCTATCTATCTATCTATTTATTTATTTCATCTAGAGCAAGTGAAGAGACAGTGTTTTTGATAGGTTTCTTTTGCTAGCATGAGGGTTTCTCCTGGGTTACTCTTGCTTAAGATTACTCCTCCTTCAAGTGTCCTGGCTTAGGATGGGAATTTCAAATTTAGTTCACCCACTTTCAGTGGACTAAGGCTTACTCTTTTATTCCCTACTCTGACATGTGGATTTGCCTTTGGGTAACCCCAATTTTGCTTATACTTCATGCTCATTTTTCAGCTCACTCTTCTTTTTTTTCCCCCCCATGCTTTTTGGATTTCTCTTACTTTTTTTGCAAATTAAGCTTTGTTTTAAAATAAGGTCATTGTAATTTATCCACGATCTAGTAGTATTATTGTATAAGGAAGGCTTTTCAGAGTATCTAGTTCATACTGCTAGAAACAGAAGCCAAGAGTCATTTTTTTCTAAAACATAAAATACTTTGTGTCACTCTCCTGCTTAAACCCCTCCAATGGCTTCTTCTCACACTTGAATGATGTACAAACTATCCTGGCCTCCAAAGCCTATGGCTGGTTTCAGGCCCAGCTCACATCACTCCCTCCTCTACCACCTTGCTGTCTCTCAAGCATATTGAGCTCACTCTTGCCTTAGAAGTTTTGGGTTAGTGGCTCCCCCTGTCTTGCATACCTTCCCCTTTTTTCGTGTGCTGGCTCCTCATCTCATTTAGGTCTCACTTTAAATGCCACCTTTTCATAGAGGCCTTTCCTGACTAGCCTCCCCATTACCTATCACATCATCCTGTTTAAATCTCTCTAGGCCACCTATTATTATCTGATGTTTTCCTGTTTATTGTCTGTCTTCCTGTACTGGAACATAAGACCTGTGAGAGCAGGGACCTTATTTGTCTGGTTCGCCACTTTCTTTTCAGGATTTAGAACAGTTCTTAGCATATAGCAGGTATTTAATACATATTTTTTGAATAATTAGAGCTGAGTATTGGCTACTTTTCTCTTCAGACAGGACCTAAGCTCTTCAGTGCCCTATTGTTCCCATTACTTCCTAACATCTTCCCAAACCAGCTTGCTCTGTTAATTTACTTATCTACCTGGCCCCTATACATGTTTGAGTTTCCAACTCCTGCTCGTAAATGTCAGTCTAGTTATTTTCATCATTTTGAAAGCAGAGACGTTATGTTTTATGCTTCTTTTCTTCCTTCAATGTCTTGCATATCATAGGAAAAGAAGAAATTAACATTCTTTGAATATCTCCTACCTGTCAAGCACAGCCACACTATAATTTAATCTATATCCTTACCATGATGCTATGGGGCTGGGTATTATTATTTATATCCATTTTACAGGTGAGGACACTGAAGCTTGGAATTGTTCGGAGTCATATAGTAAATGAAGGATCTGGGATTGGAACTCACGCAGACAACATATACCCAGTGTGAAGTGTTGTGAAAGGGTTGCTCATGTCTGAGGAACAGGTGACTGTTTTCAATTTGCAAAGTGGAGATTGAGCAATTGGATCTTAGTCAAGTTTTACTTGAGCAGTCCAGCTTATTTTATCAGTTTTCAATTTCATTCCACTATGTGTATGTAGAGCTAGCTTGAGGTATGTCTATATTTGTCTAGAAGAGGGTCTTGCATAGCTAATAAACATTGCTGTTGGCAAGTACTATGGAGTCCAGCAGCAAGGAGATTTTCTGAAGATAGGTACTTCAATCAAACCATCAGCTGTCAGTGGATCACTGGACAAAGGCAGAAACTGAATGCACCGAAGGTGTACCACACCACCAACCATTCTTTTAAGTAACAAAATCTTATTTTTATTTTTTACAGAAATTCAGATATTCCAACAAATTTCTTTACATTTCCTGGACCTTAAAAAAATTACACACAACTTTTGGACGCAATACAACAGAACAGGATGAGAAAGGGAGTCACTTTAAAAAAAAGAAAGATAAAAACATACTTCGTATACTTAACATTTAGTGATTTACATGTGTATTACTTATGTACAAATGGTACATTATCAAAGACCCATCTTCAGAGCACTGTGGTATCTAAATTACACTTAGGTTTTATGGCAAAACTTTTAAAAAACATTTGTGTGTGAGTAGGAAGTACTTTTTCTTTTTTGTTAACACCACTATTAGTGATGTAGGACTCCTGATGGAATCTGTAATTTACATGGATTAGAGAAAGCCAATACCTTCTGTTTTTATTGTAGATAAAGTAGAGTTACCTCCCTTTGAATGAGAGATGAATTCTTGAAAAGTTGTGTGTAATTAAATTTAGTAAGTAGGGTGTTTTGAATGCAGTAGGAGAGCTAATAATTACAGCAACAAATAACTCCCAGAATGGTTAATACTCTATTACAGATAATAAGTATTCCCTTAATATGTTTCTTTAGAAAATCCACATTTCTTTGAATTGGGTTTCACTCATTTGAGCACACCTGTAATATACTTTTAGTCATTTGAAACATAATCCCATTTTAGTGAAAATATGGCTAGTGCCAGAAACATTTGGCTAAAATAGGAATGTGGCCCTAATAGAGAGAGGGTAAGAGAAGTCAACCCTGATCTGTATCATTTTTCTTGTTATCGTCTGTCTGATATCCCAATGATATATGTGAATTCAATCTTAATTGAGTCTATGAATGAAGGCATTCTACACATCTGTGTTTTCTTTTCAGGTATAGAACATGGTTTGGCTTCCACTGACTATTCCTGCATGTACATTTTAGCTTGTGTTCACTCTCAGGCAATTGGCTATTTCAACATTAAATATTTCTCTGTTGTTGGATATTGGCAGGATACCTGGTGAGGGTGATGGTGGTGGAAGCCTGGGAGCAAAACAATTGTTGAAGACAACTGGTTAGTTCCAACTACTTCCAAATGCCAGCCAACTAAAAAAAATCTGAATATTTTTGAAACCAACATTAGTAAACAAAAAGTTAACTTATTCCTACTGAGTTTCTTTGACCTGTTTAAGTATAGAGTCATTTATTTCTAAGGCTATTAAATGATTATTTTGTTAGTGCCACTTACTATCATTTAGAAATAGGTTTAATGGAATAATTTATTTAAAAAACAATGATGAGTGCCTGTCCATAAGGGAAATAAAGGATATGGATTTTTATAACATGTATGGCAAAAAAATAGAAAAAAAGGAGATATTTTAGATACTTATTTATAAAGTGTATTAAATTCCTATGTGTATACTAGGGAGAATTAGAAAAAAGTATTTATTTGATAGCAGCCTATATATTACATGTGAACATCCAAGGTGAAAATGAGCTTTCTATATTTTTCTGAGTTCCTGATGCTGTTTCCTGAAACAGGGAAATCTATGTTGCTTGGGAACCTATAATCTAAAGATGTACTTCCTGTAATATACAGCTTGATGGAGTAATAGTATATGTCAGAAACACTTTCTCAGTAATAACTTGTATAGACAGATTAAATTGAACACAGACTCAGTAAAAAGTTTGAAGTGTTACATGTCTTATTAACTGAGTGGTTGAAACTAATTACACAGTGAAATAAATGAATGGTAGAGATGGAGAACCAAAGATCACAGCTCCTGTGATAACATTCAGAGGCATTTTCTAAGATGCTTCCTCAATAAATGACACTTGATCAGCCTCTTGGCTATTGAGATAGGAATAATTTAGAACTAACTGCCTTTTTTAAAATAGTGTTGAAAGATTAAAGCTTTTTGTTTTCAGTTGGATTAAAAAAGGACAGTTTACAAACCTCAGTACATATATATTTTACATGTAAATTCTAGCACATTTGTATACCTCTTCCTTAAATTATTTCCTGAATATGATTTTTCATGAATGTTATCTGATCTTATTCAATGACAGTTTCCAATGAGCTGGTGTTTAATCCACGATCACATCTCTTTCCAGAAAATCACTATCATCTCTGCTGATCTAGATTTAGGAGTTGCTTTGACAAGTAGATGTTTCTTTCTCGTCCATATTCATCTCTGTACTTCGATGTCTCCCAAGTGTCTTCCTTCTTGATGTTGATGTACAAAAGCTGTTATTCGATTTGTTTTGTGCTCATTCTAGAGAATATTGGCTTAGCAGAACTGCAGAAAGGGAAGGGAAAACAGAAAGAAAGGGTTGGGGGAAGAAAAGAAAATGCATCATTTTCTGACAGCAAGATTTTTATACATAGTATTTGTAATGGAAAAGCCACACCAACATATGGTTCAAATGCACTTTAGATTTGTTATCAAAGATGACTGAAAGGTTTGAGATTTCTGTTCCATTCAACACAAAGCACAGTCCTCCTGGCAGGGGGGTTCCCTGTAACCCAGATATGTGGATCCCCCCATCTGGGTCAAGAGCACAAGCTGCTTTGAAGGAGCAAGGAAGAGTGTGGAATGCTCCCAAGCATCACCGGCTTTCCTGCCTAGCATGGAAAGTGCGTTACTTGAGTGTTTTCCTTTTCTTTCCAAGTTTTATTTATTTTACACTCAACATTATAACAGCTACAAAATAAATGACTGTAAAGATGAATCACCCACGGGCCGGCCCGGTGGCACACTGCTACAGTGCGCCGCTTGGGAGTGTGGCAGGCGCTCCCGCCGAGGGTTCGGATCCCACATACAGACCGGCTCCCGCTCACTGGCTGAGCGAGGCATGGGAGCAACACCGAGGGTTGCGATCCCGTTGCCGGTCCCGGTCCGGTACGGGCGCGACACTGAGGGTTGCGATCCGTTGCCGGACACGAAAAAAGACAAAAAAAAAAAAAGAAAAAAAAAGATGAATCACCCACAATCCAATTCACTTGGCCCACCAGTTGTTTTCTTCCCACGTTTCTCTCCATTCCTTATCTAGATGTGCACTTACTTTACATAGTTGGAATCACAGTACAGATGACTTTTTTTTTTTTTACCTTTTTTTTTGTCTTTTTCCGTGTCCGGCAACGGATCGCAACCCTCAGTGTCGCCCCCGTACCGGACCGGGACCGGCAACGGGATCGCAACCCTCGGTGTTGCTCCCGTGCCTCGCTCAGCCAGTGAGCAGGAACCGGTCTGTATGTGGGATCCGAACCCTCCGCAGGAGCACCACCTCGCTTCCCAAGCGGCGCACTACAGCAGTGCGCCACCGGGCCGGCCCGACTTTTTTTTTTAACATATTAAAAACGAGTTTCTATGTTTCCACTGTCTACATCATCAGCATCAGTTTCCTGTGGCTGCACGATGTTTCACTCCATTCTCATTCCTGTCCATCCTGAGCTTATTCCATTCTCAACTGCTTCACTATTATCAGATACGTAGGTGGATTTCAATTTCTTCGTTATAAATAATGAACATCTTTGCATATAAAGATCTATTTGTTCTTTTAATTTTTTTCTTTAGGACAAATTCTCAGGGAACAACTTTTCCTTTTCTCCAACAGGTTAGGGACAACACCTGTATCAACATAACTAGACCACAAATAGCATGATCCACCTATTCTTTAGGTGCTTTTCATAGACTTTGGCACTGTTAACCAGGGCTTAAGGGAACCTTATACATTGTGAGGATGGGTAAATACACCTGCGTGGCCGTAGTATGGCAGATTTGGGCTGGAAGGAAACAGCCTATTTGGTTTTGCATCACAGAGCACTTTGAAACGCAAGATAAGGTTATGGTTTCTGAATCTGTGCTACAGAAACCTCTGAAAGATTCTGTTGTTGTTTTCAGTATTTTTCCCCTTGTTTTCCAACACACTTTAAGAAGTCTTATGCACATTATGATTTTAATGAACTTTTCTCAGCAAGAGAACTCATAGTTACTTTAATGTACTCAGACTACACAGGGGATAATTGAAATATGATCATGTCATCAGGATGATTAGCCCATAATGATCCTCTGAGATTGAGTCATGCTGGCAGAGCCCTACAGAAGGGAATACTTTCTTCAGATATTATTGAAGGCAACATAAGTGATCCATGGATTTTACACAGTGCTATTGGCAGTTGTGAACCTTCAGTGTGTCCTCTTCTCTGCTGCCGGGGAGGTGCTTTTGTTAGATAGAATCCAAAGTCAGGGCTGTGGGTCTGTGATTCCACCATTCTAGCATTTTTCACTCAGAATATTTTTCTATTTAAAATCCACAAAGCTGAATGTCTGGGGTTTCCAGTAAGATTGTGAAAGGTGCTAGCTGGGGGTGGGAAAAAGGGAGGAGACGGTGGGAGTCATAAACACATGAAAGAGCATACAGAAATGGGCGTTGAAAAGTGGCTAGGCACATGGAAGAGAGGGTAGCATAGGAAAGTGCCCAGGAAAGAGGGGAGCAGGAGGAAAGTCCCTATTTTCTTGAGGTTCTCAAATGAAAACACTCCTAATTTCGCGACAGTAAAGCCTGCTTTGGTGTGAATCACTTGTTGGCATTCATAAACCAGAGATTCGCTGTTTTTCTTTGCCCAGCTCTAAACTGCCTGATTTGGCTTTACAACATCACAGACAAAGGAAAAGTACAAGACTGCCAGGAAGTACATGTGTCTGACGCTACATCCCAGGCAATCTGAGACCCATTCTCAGTGGGCTGGGAAGAGAGCAATTGGCATTAGAAGGGCTTTAGATCAGATTCCAGAGCAGGGACACTCATACCTGGGAGAAGGGAGATGTCTCCCTGGGAGGATCCTAAGCCCTCTTATAGGAAGGGAACATCTATGGCCAATCTCACAAGGGTTCCTCTTCACCCCCCACCATGTGGACCCATAGCCCAGGGCCTGGCCAGGACAGGTCATTCATCAACAACCCTTCTTTATTAATTTTTTTTTAAAAAAGATGACTGGTAAGGGGATCTTAACCCTTGACTTGGTGTTGTCAGCACCACGCTCAGCCAGTGTGCTAACCGGCCATCCCTATATGGGATCCGAACCCGGGGCCTTGGTGTTATCAGCACCGCACTCTCCCGAGTGAGCCACGGGCCAGCCCCAACAACCCTTCTTGGATCTGCTCTGGTCTCGGGTCACCTGTGGCCTCCACATGGTTGAATCCATCCTTGGATCCTTCACTGTAATCTCACCATTAATTAGTCAACACTTCCTTCTTAAAGTTTTCTTCTTTGTTGACTACTGTCAGCACTGGAACTACACTCCCCGCCCACAGTATCAATGGTGGGCAGGGAGCTGGGGAGTGAATGGGAAAACGAAAGCATAAAGCCTGTGATCCAGGCCTGGTACTAGGATGGGGCAAGTGAGATGCTGAGGGTGTAAGATGAAAGGAGGCTCACTCACAGGGTCATGCAAGTGCAGGGCGAGGGCCTCCTCAAATTTTGCACACTAGGCACCTGGCTGGCCTCCTGAGCATAGACTGCTCCTCGCAAGGCCTACTGGGAATGTTTGTTTAGGTTTGAATTACTTAGACGCTGCTTTCTGTGTGTACTTTTTCTTCCTAGTGTATGACACCACCATGCAACAGGAACCCCAGGGCATGTGAGAATTCTGCAGACTGCTAGGCTAAAAATAACCAAGGTATTTGTTCCAGTGGTGCTCAGGACACAAACTCTTCCCACAGAACATCAGGAAAACACTTTGCTGGGGAAGTAAAATTAGAGTGCTCTTATGATGACCTAGCTGGCATGCACAATTAAGAGTTTTCCACCTGAAGTCTTGGCAAGGGCCAGCTCTTCAAGCAGATTTGTGAAGAGAACAGTTGCAAGGGAGAAAAAGACAGGATTTTCCTTTCCAGATGAACAGTCTTAGGACTGCGAGACACCAGGGCAGTTTGCAGGATTCATTGGAAGTATCAGTGTGGCTACACTGTATTCTCCACCTAGTGAAACATTCTGCTCTTTTTAGAACTTTTCCTAACATTTCCCATGCACCATGGATGCTGCCTATCAGGTGAAGCAGTTTAAAGATGTCACACTCTCTCAGGTTTGTACAGAGCAATACTGAATACATAAGTCATTCAGTGCTGCTTTGGATCTTTGTGCAGTGGAGTTTGTCTTTGTTGTTACATGACATCATGGGCTCTGAGTTGCCCATGTTCCATATCCAAGTGGCTCTTTGCAGACCCTTTTCCAAGCTGTCGTTTGAATCACTGTTCATGAGGGCAGCATTTATAATGGCGACATTGTCCAGATTATCTAAATGTTACTTGTTGAATTTTCTATGTGTTTACGCATGGGATGTTGAAAGGTCTCTTGTGGTTGATCCTATCTGACCTATTCAATCAGGGTCTGGAGCCCCCACAGTAAAGACAGCTAGGGGGCAGGCACTGTCTGAGTGAGAAAAATGCTTGGTGGGAGTGGTCAGGCTTTTTGCAGAATGGCTAGCTAAATCTTTGCTGTACATATGAATAAGGGAGGAATTCCAGTAAGGAAACTGGCTTAACCAGCTTTGTTGTTTTCTCCCACTCTATTGTTTCAAACGGCATGCACCTCTAATAGGGACTTCTGACATCCTTTATCTCTGGGAGGCAGAGTATAGTCCCCTGGAAAGAATATTTCATCATTGATGTTTTCAGGAGCTCTTGACATGATGTGCCCCGCAGTGGGTGTGACAGATTAGAGATGGCTGCAGATTCTTTGACATTCCTCCCATTGAGAGGTGGGGTTTATGTTCCCCTCCCCTTGAATCTGGGCTTTAAGAGTCCTGGCAGTTTCTTTCTTCCTTTTTTTTTTTTTTTAATTGTGGTAAAAACCACAAACATAAAACTTACCGTCATAACCATTTTTAAGTGTACTATTCAGTAGTGTTAAGTGTAATCACATTGTTGTGAAACAGATCTCCAGAACTTTTTTATCTTAAAAACTGGAATTATATACCCATTGAACAACATTCCCCATTCCGCCTTCTTCTCGCTCCTGGTAAACACTATTCTATTTTCTGTTTCTATAAATTTGACTATTTTAGGTGCCTCATATTGGTGGAATCTTACAGTATTTATTTTTTTGTGACTGGCATATTTAACTTAACCTAATGTCTTCTAGGTTCACTCATGTAGTACCATATGACAAGATTCCTTTTCTTTTTATGGCTCAATAATATTTCATTATATGTATGCATCACATTTTGTTTACACATTCATCCATCAATGGATGTTTGGGTTGCTTCTACCTCTTGGCTATTGTGAATAGTGCTGCA